TTACCTCACCTAGGTATCTTCACAATTTATTGATTCCAATTAATAAAAGTTGCATTCTTACTAAATTCAAATTCCTTCATTTTATTGAAAAATCTTCTACGATATATTTTTAAGAAATGCCTATTCATTCTCACTAGCTAATAAATTAATAGCTCAGCTGAATTGACTCAAAACAAAAATAATAAAATTGAACTTTATATTTTTTAACTGATACTCTTCTTCATTTTTTACATGAAAACGAATCAGCAAACACTGCAATAGGAAGTGACAAGTACACCCAACAGCAGCCAGAGCCAACTTTCCCCAGGAACTTTCGTTACAACTTCTAGTGGATACAACCATGGGTGAACTTCGTAATAGTTTTATATTCATATTTCTTTATTATTGTGTACTGTAATAAGAATTCGTGCAATTCTAATAATAAAAAATATATGGTTATAATCGTGTTTTACTTCATAATAAGATGTATTTTTTGTTCCACAAATCCAAAATTATAATTTTTCGTTTTCTTTTTAACTTAAAATATTTCAAATTTTATCTATCACAGAACATAACCCAATGGATTATATCCATCTAAGTATGTTGAGTGAAGAATAAAATGTTTGAATCATTTTAAGTAAAAAAGAACGAAAAATTATAATTTTGAAAACTTAGTAGCGGTTTATTAGAAAGGCCGAGTTTGAAAAACCCGCGCTCATTGACCCCTACCGCCATCTATATAATAAATCTTGAACAAATTTTCAATTATTAGTTATCTTCTTTTTTTTTAACTCAACTATTTGCAACCGCTACGGATGGCGCTGAAAGATGAGTAAAATTTTTCACTGTTGAGTGGCCCATCTTTAAAGGGTATGGTCTGTGGGGCAGAGCTGTTTTAAAAACGATTTAAATCAAAGATCATAAATCGTTTGTATTTGAACGAATGATTTAAATCAAAGATCTATTTTTTAAAAAGGAAGATTTAAATCAAAAATCTTTTTTAGATTTAAATCTTTTCGAAAGATTTAAATCATTTTAGGATAGATTTAAATCATTTTAGAAAAGATTTAAATCTTTTCGAAATAAAAGTGTGCAAAAATTTAAAATACATATGTAAAGAGTTTCAGGATTATATCGATAATGAAAAAGTATTTTCAGCTGCTTGCGGTGTAAAAAATACAACTTTACAAAAAAAAATATCGGGTCAGAAATTTTGTAAAATTTCATACTTAAGAATAATCTTTAGTCATTGCAATTATTTATTACACTTTACTATTATTTCTTTTTCTTTTCTCTCGGATTTCTGATTCAACCCTACTGACATGCTGGCTAGATTATTATTCAGGAATAGACAGGTTGATAACGATTTTGACGAATCAGGTGATGTAAATTGTTTTAAAAAGATTTAAATCTTAAAAAAGATTTAAATCTTTAAGAAAATTTAAATCATTTTACAGATTTAAATTATTTCAGAAAGATTTAAATCAATAAAAAGATTTAAATCGTTTTAAAAATATTTAAATCGTTTTAAAAAGATTTAAATCGTTTTAAAAAGATTTAAATCGTTTTAAAAGATTTAAATCGTTTTAAAAAGATTTAAATCTAATTTTTAAATAAAAAATCAAAGATACTTTTCAAAAAGATTTAAATCATAAATCAAAAATAATTTTTTTAAAAAAGATTAAGGGTCTATTTATACTCCCTTATTATTAGTATTTGCATTAGTATTATGATTAAGCATTAAGTTGAACCTTCACAATGTAATGGGGACATTTATACTCGATTTATGATTAGTATTAGCATTAATATTTATGCTTAATAATTGACAGGTTCAACTTTTAAATTAAATATTAAATTTCTTCTTTTCTATAAAATGAATCAATGGAGTATTTGGCCTTTGTTTTTAATAGACAACGGATAAGGATAATTGACAACACACATATGATTATTTTGTTTATTTGTTTGTTCCAACAAGCTCGAAAACGATAATATTTCGGTACAAATCATGCTCTGTATACAATTTTTGTGTATCAGCAGTGTTTACCGATTATAAAGTTGACAAATGACATGTCACAATGAGGAAGCAAAGGCCTCTTTTCTGTCTGATTTGTATCAAATTTCTGCTTCTTTTTATCTGTTATAAATTTGAGACTTAAATCCGTTAAAATGTCCATAATTAAACCTATTTTTGAATAATAATATTTTTAGATAAAATTAACTAGTAAAAATATTAATAAAAACACATTTAAAACTAAAATATCTTAAAAAGAACACAATCGGCCTCTTACACATTTCTTCAGTAACCATATATTTTGTTGACTGCAGAATTATATCTTATTAGGTATTATGTTTAAAAAAGAATTACTAATACTAATTATAAAACGAGTATAAATACCTTTTTTGAATGATTTAACAAATTTAATGCTTAATCATAATACTAATACAAATACTAATACTAAGGGAGTATAAATAGACCCTTAAAATCAAAGTATTTAAATCAAAAAATGTATTTAAATCAAATGATTTAAATCTCACTGATAGGTGACAGCTCTGGATACGGGCCCTGTCTTTTCCTTTGCATCGAAAGTGTAGGACCGAGCTACACCACTTCTGAAAATATCGTTCCATTTATACAAATTGTATGGATGGAACAATATTTTCAGAAATAACGTAGCTCAGTGCTACACTTTCGATGCAAAGGAAAAGACCTATTAGGTCATGGGATTAAGTGTTCTGTGGTATAGAAGTCCTCTATTTACAAACGACAACTAAGAAAATATGAAGTTCCCTGTTCAATGTAATTAAAAGTTTGGAATGTAAAATGAAGTAAATGGTTATGATGAGATACCAAAGATCAACATACATACAATTAAGAGGTGCGAATTGTGAATAGTAATATATGCTTAATTTGTCATTCAATTTCTGTGATTAAAAAAATATTGCTAAATTCACGCCCACGACTTTGACGTTTCATTATTATAAATGAAAAAGTCGAGGAAAGGAATCATTTCTACAATATAACATCGCTTTTTAGGTAAGATTTCCCATTCCCACGGATTTCTTTCCTACAAAGAACCAATTGTTTGTAAGAAATATCAACAGTTAATTTAACTAATGTGTTTTGAATTTGCAGGCAATGGTTGTAGTAAGTGGTAACTGGGTGAAAAATGTTGTTACTTATCCACCTTCCAATGTTATTAGTAATGTAATAGTATGTGCTGAGACTATGGAAGCCAAAGCAATTTTAACTTGTCGCCCCAATTCCCACCTTTTTCAGGAAAGGACTCTTACACTTGATCAACCAATTAAAGTAGGCAGATCTGTTGCTAGAGTAAAACCTACTGCCAATAATGCTATTTTTGATTGTAAAGTTCTATCTAGACACCATGCTCTTCTTTGGTATGAAAATGGAAAATTTTATCTACAGGTTGGTTCTTTAAATATTAAAAAAAAAAACAACTATCAACTTTGAGCTCTTTTCGATCACAGAAAAACTAAGCATACCTACTTATAGGTATATTGTTATTGTAAACAAAAAACCTAAGTACCTACCATATTTTGTGCAAATGCATAATATTGACAAATATTTTTTTTAAATGAAAATATGACATTTTTTTAATTGTTATTAATTTTACAAGAAAGGGGATGAATAGGGGTGCTGTGTGGGTAAAACAAAGTCAATAGTTAATTTTTATTTAAAAAAATTGTCATTAATTTATTTGCACAAGAGATGGAACTTAGATTTTTTGTTTACAATAGTGATACCTACAAGTATGTATGCTTAGTTTTTTTATAAGCGAAAAGAGCTCAAACAAGATAATGACTAAAAATAGAGATCAAGCTAATTATTATATCTGAAATATTTCATTGAATATAAAGTTTTTAATGGTTACCATTTTATTAACATAATACATATATGTCTTAATTATTGGTCTTTATAATAGTTAGTTAAAACAGTTAGATTTATAAGGTTGAAATGTGAACACTTAAAAAAAAGGATTGTAGGAAGTTTAAAAAAGAGGAAGTCAGATGTAAAGTAATTCCTACATACTACAATAAGTGTACAGGGGAAAACTGTTTTTTTTTTGTATCCCTACCATGCACTTCTGCTGTCAGTTTAATAAATACAAAGTTAGATTTTTTCGAGGGGTTAGTTTTAATGGGAGCATGTTGTACATTCCAATTGGGAGTGCATTAGGACTAGATTGAAAGTGCATTATGAGTATTTTGGAAGTGCATTGAGAGGGTTTTGAAGTTGCATCGGGAATGTATTGGAACAGAATTAAAAACATTTTGAAATTGTAGGTATATTCAAATTATTTATCTTGGCAGTTCGAGTATAAAAACTGTTTTCAGCCAGAAAGTCACGAAAATAAAATAAAAAGTTAAAATTATATCAAGAATAGAACAAGAATAGTATTCTTTTAGGTCCACCACAGCTAAAGGGCACCTTCTAAAAACTTCGCTTTAAAAAAATTGCTGGTAAACCATTTTTCAAAATAGAAAATGGCATAATATTTTTCTAATAAAACTATTTTGTTTGGTATTTTGTTTGTATTTTGGAATGAACAAACACGAATTAGTCTGTTGGAAGATAATTTGTATTTTTGTCCATCAAGTAGCCAATACAAAGAAGACTTTTATTTTAATAAACTTATTATTCACATCACATTTCACAAGTCTCCTGGTATTTGATTTATAGTCCTTGCATTTTATGTTTAAACAATTACCAAGATAGTTTAGTGCATTTTTATTTACTATGCCTTGTTCATTTAAGTTAGACTTATTTTCTGAATCACTGTCACTATTTAAAAAAAATCAACTGTTTTTGGCACATCCCCAAACCCTTCTTCGTTTTCATGGGTATTTATATATGTATGTACAAAACTAAAATTAATAAAATAAGAGTACAAATGATCAAAAGAAGATATAAAAACTTAGTCATTTAAAAAAAAAAATTAAAATTTGAACAGAAACACTAAAATTGAAATAACATAAATAACAATATATTTTAAAATTAGAAAGAGTGGTACATTTTTTGTAGATGCAGGTATTTGATTAAACTTGTGGAAACCTTTAAACAACAGTGAATTCATTGTGCTTCAATAAACCATTCTACTTATGTGTATGTCATTTAGACCTCTGGTATTATATGAATGAATATTTTTATTAAAAGAAATGTATTCCTGAAAATATTCAGGTGCACAACCATTTACCATTTTGAAAATCAAAATCATGGTGAAATAGTACAGTCTGTTTTTAGCAGATAAACCAATTGATAGAATTTACCATAATTATAACTGGAGTATGAGGATTTGTTTTTAGAATTATTCTCATCCCATAATTTTACAACTGCAACTTGTTTAGTTTGTTGATTGAATAAGAATATAATTGATGCGCAAGAGTCAAAATGAGGTTCAATAATAGCGTTATACATTGTGATTTTGGTCTCCATTGACAAGTTTTGAGATATTTGGCTAAAAAATACATATTTTTTTGATATTTTTTTGTAGATATATTCTAAGTATTCTGAGTATCAAAACTTAAAACCCTAAATATTTAAGTGACAATTTGAATTTTTTCATTGTTAATATTTAAATGTATGCTGTTAGTATCAAGTAAGCTATATTATTTATATTTCATGGTGAATATCATTGCAGTTCTTTTTTAACATTTAGCTTTAGTTTGTTTATTTTCAATTATTTATTAACTTTGTCTAGAATACTATTCATTTTCTGAATGCCTACATCCAAATTTTCATCACTACAACAAATTAAGGTATGATCGGTAAAAAGGTTAATGAATTTACAAATTATGAAAGGGCCAATATTGTTAATGTACAGAATAAACAGACGTGGGCCTAAACTACTACCCTGTGGAATTCCTGCTTCATTATCCAGATCAGATGATACCTGATCATTAAAACGTACTCTCTGTTTGCGATATTCTAAAAAATTTCTAAGCCACTCAATCACTATACCGTACTGCTAAAGTTTTGAAATCAGTATTTTCCTGTCGATTGTCTCAAAAGCCCCTTTTAAATCTAGAAATACAGGGACAACATTTATATTTGTCAAAATTATTTTTTATAGGGCAAAGTGTAATTTGTAATGCTGATGAGATTGTTAATTAAAATTTTATTGTTTATAAACAGCAATTTCTAATAATATTTCTATAGGAGGTAAAGTATTGATTGGTCGAAATTCTTCAGCTACCTTTTGTAGAGGAGTGATAGTACTTATTTTTAATACATTAGGAATCCTACTTGTAGTGAGATATGTCTTATAGTTAAATTTGAAGTCCAATGGTTTCAAGAACATCTTTTACCATTCTGAAATTTAATGTTTCATGTATTATCTAAACTGTCCACCATTTTTCGCAGTTTTCAAAGTTATTTTCATTAAACCACGTTACAATATTCTCAATACATTCAATGCTTTCCACAAAATATTCATCAAAAGTGATTGCTATTTCTAAGCTGTTTGTTAACAATTTCCGCCCTGCTGTAGTTTCAAAGATTACAGAGTTTGCCTAATTTTGGCTATATTATTAACAATGTTTTTTTTATTTTTCCACATTTGTTTTGGATTATTTTTACAGTTATCTATTTTATTAAAGTAATACTGCTCTTTTTTTAGCATCAACGTATTCACATTTCTATGTTGTTTATAAACTTGCAATTTAGGTTGTTTTTCATTGCCGTCAGTACATATTTTAAATCCTAACACTTGTCTATTTTTATCATATACATCATAATCAAACCAAGGCAATTTTGATTTATAATGGCATGATTCTATTGGTGATATATTATTGATTACATTTTTGCAATTGGCCAAAATTTCCTGATAAATATCAACGTCAACAGAATCTAAACTAAAAAAAATCTAACTTTGGGATTGTAGTTATTGAAGTTATTGATTCTTGGATTTGATCTCTATTTTTTATGATGCTTTGGGCGTTGAGACATATTATATTGGTGTTAAAAAGTATAAAGTGTTTTTTTTGGTTTTGTTTTAAAACGATAGTTAGTTTATTATTTATGTATTTGATTATTTTGGTAGTATCTCCGTTATCAATTAGAATCTGTAGTTTAGTTTTCATCGCTTTAAAATATTCCTGCTGTGCCTTAGTTTGATCACCAAATGTTCGGGAATTAATAGAATTATTTTTAAGCGTATGATCTTGTGATTTAAGAATAACTGTAATTGGCCTGGTCTTGTTTGTCACATATTTTCCCAAACGAAACATTTTCAAATTAGTTTTCTCTACATTAAAATTATTTAGTATTTTTCCAACAGCTGTTGAATCTTCACAATCACGTTCTGCTTGAGTTTTAATTTTTGACTCATTCACGTTACAAACAATTATGTTAGAAGCGCGACTCTGCCTCTTAATCATCTCATGTATTATTTTCTCTTTATCTCCTCTGGGGTTAGAGTCATTACTGCTAACAGAATCAGCTACATTGTTTGAACTGCTGATTTCTAGCTCCAAATTATCGATTTTCACAAGAAGTTTAGGTATAAGCTTTATTCCATTGTGGCAATCCTCACGGTAAAATTTAAGCAATCTCTTACCTTTGAACTCCTTAACCTTTAGTTCGCTGGAATTCAGTCCTGAACGCTCCCTATGAGTCGACCTTTAGCAGCTATCACAATTTATAGTAGTCTCACCAGTTTTATTTTTATAAGAAACATATTTCATTATAGAAATTTTGCACCATCCAAAAATTACAATTTTTTATGCACTTTTTCCTATTGAAATTAACTCCAAACCATAGACGTTGGAAAAATTCGTGTTTATTTCATGAACCAAATTGTTCATAAACATTTTCTAATTCCTTAAAAATGAAGTATATTACATTTTATCAAAAGCTCATCAGTAAAGAGCTGTTGACTATATTTCAGAATTTAAGATAGCTATTTGATAAATAATTCATAACACTACAATCATAACAGTAAAAATGGAACTCCACTTTTGTTCCTCTTATCATGGTCCCAAAGTTTGAATCTAATGAAAAGGGGTTCCTACTTATTAAAAAATACATTGTACCTACCAAAAAACGTATTTTCTTGAGAATTATGCATATTTATTTTAATTTACATACCCTATTTCAATTTCTAGGACACAAAAAGTAGTAATGGGACCTTTGTAAATAACAGTAGACTATCCCCAGACAATGGTAATCATGAACTAAGTTCTGGCGATATAGTGCAGTTTGGTGTAGATGTGGTAGAAAATAATAGAAAAGTTACACATGGTTGTATAATTGCTACAATAAAATTGTACTTGCCAGATGGGAAAGAGGCTAAAGCTAGTCCTATTAGTGATGGGGGAACACCAGGTAAATAAAAGTTCAACTAAAGGATAAAGGAATTGATTGGTATAAATAATAATATTCCATATCAAAAGTTCGTGGATTGAAATCCTTCAGACAATAATGATAGAAATAGTGCTACATTTTTCGGTTTTTTTATTTTATGCCTTTTGAGTTTGTTTCTTAGATTTTCGTTATTTTGATTTGTTAATTAAATTCTAGCGACTTTAATGTATGTGAAAATAAATTTGTCCTTTTTCATGTTTTCGGTGTTGTTGTTGTTATTATTATCTAAAATTCTACCCAAAAAATTGTATTGGTTATAATGATAATGCCAGCTTGAATTTTTTTTGTATGAAATTATGGCAACAGCTTGAAAGGAAATAATTACTAATTATTTTAACATGTAGCAAAAACGGTTTGGAAATTATATTATAAGAAAAAAGTAAAACAAAAATCTTAGGCTTAAGCTTTTACATCTAAAATTTAAAATGTTATATCTGAATTTAAATTTGAAAACATTACTATACTAATTCCGAAACTGCAAGAAATAAAATTGTCATATATTTTTTTAATACTGTACAAAAAAGTTATATCTTTAGTGATTTGCAAATTTAAGTACTGTTATTTTTATCTAATAAATGTAAACTTTTTAGGTATGGTACCTCTAGACGATCTGTATCGCCTGAATCATATAATACAAGAAGCAAATCAGCGAGAGCAATGTCTTGAGACCAAACTTACCGCTCTTCAGCATGTAGTGGAAGAAACCAGAAAATCTGCAGAAGAAAGTTGGCAGGCTTATGTGGGAGAGGAACGCTTGCTATCAAGAGTATCGGCATTAGAAAATCAGCTGCAACAAGCTAACAAAAATTTTGGAGATGATCGATTGAGAGAAGAATTAGCGAGGTTACAGGTAGATTAAAAAATGTACTTTTCTTTCGACCTGTCTATAAAATGTGATTTTAGAGACGCATTTAGGTACGAAATATGTGTCTCTTTTGGACATTATATTTTTGTTCTAAAACCTGTTTTCATCCTCAATTCATTCTTCATTCTCAAAACTTTTTGTTCTCAATCATTTCTTCATACTCAAAGCTTTTGACTTCAAGGCTTTTTCATCCACAAACGTTTTTTGTTTGTGATTTAATTAACAACAATACTAACGAGCCGGTGATTGCTATTTTCAAATTTGTTTCCGTATTTTTGACTGCTTTATACCTGCTCAGTGTGTGCTTGAATTATGTAAATTTTCATAGTTTATTTGGCCATGGTTTATTAGAGTAGCAACAATGTGTTGTTTTAACAATACTCCACCAAAGCTTCAAAACAACATTGAAATTGTCACAAAAAGTTTGAAATCTTAATTAAATAAACTGTAGTATGAGACCTCTGCTGTATTAACCCGTAATTTTTATTCATTTCATGGTATCAAATTGTAAATTTGCTCATCTTTTTACGGTTCTTGGTTCAATGTATCGCCATCTTCTCGCATTAAAGTTACTATTTACTTACTTATTTGATACATTTTAGGAGGATAATGAAGCATATCAGATTGCAGCCAAAGAAGCACTGGAAAAACTACATGCAGAAAGATTGCAAGCTGTTGCTTTAGCTATGGAGCAAGAAAGGGCAAGGATATCAGCTGAGCAAGATGCATTACTAGCTAAAGAACAATTTGCACATGCTCAGTTAGAATTGGAGGTAATTTTTTACTAAAATATAAACTATACATATAATAGATTTTTCTACAATTACAATTCAAAACACGCTTTTCTACATTGTTTTATGTTAGCAAATTTGATAATTTCTCACAATAATAGAAATATTAAGTGTGCCCAAAAGTTACATTTCTTATATATTCCTAACAAAAACCAAAGAGACTATTTCCGTCTTGATCAGCAGTCCACACCACATATGTTTGGAAATATACAGGGTGTCCCAAAATTAGACGGTCATATTTTAACAGCGCAATCTACATCCTAAAGTAGGAATAAAAATTCATATAAACATAGGTCCGAAAAAGTTTCTTTTCCGAGATACAGGGTGTTAAAAGTGAAGTCCTGATGACACATTTTTGTAAATATTTTCTAAACGTTTAAAGATAACTAAGTGAAATTTGGTACAAATGCTAACCTTTTTAGGCTCTATTTAATGGTCTAAACCCCAGTTTTTGATCCTTTTCATAGGTGGGTAAATTCGGGGGGGCGTAGGGTAAAATTGCCCTAAGTTTTTTTTGTTGACAGTTTTTAACATTTTTGACTATAAAATTTGAAAAACCAATGTATTCTTTATAATAAAGCCACTATTGTTGCATCTCGCTAGGACGCACCATTTTCAAGAGAAAAGCATTTGAAAATTTCGTGATAAGTTGATGTTATCTTATTCGAAAGTGTACCAATAATTAGTAGGCCTGTGGAATAAGAAATTTTATTTTTTTTTAACTTTGGAAAATCAGTGACTAAAGAAATTTTAGAAAATATTTACAAAAATGTGCCATCAGGACTTCACTTGCAACACCCTGTATCTCGAAAACGAAACGTTTTCGGACCTAAGTTTATATGAACTTTTACTCCTATTTTAGGATGTAGATTACGCTGTTAAAATATGACCGTCTAATTTCGGGACACCCTGTATATTACACCCTTACACATATAGTTGCAAGAACGTCACGTCCATTAAAATTGATGAGTCTGGTTAACTTTGATATATGTTTAGATTGAGTAATATGAGGTTCACGTCATTCAGACATGTCACATTATTAAGTTCTGTCCCAATTTATCAGGTCCATACATTTTAATGAACGTTATTACAATCAACGACAAACAACTACTAGACTAATTTTGTTTACAAAAATCGAATTGAAAAACATTCAGTGTTATCCACGTAGTTGTCAAATTGTTGTGGGAGTCTTGTTACAAGGATTGTTTATAAAAAAAATCCTTTATTGTCCAAACAGGAGTACATCCAATTACAGGACAGCTTAAATACTAATAATGCTGAAACAAGTATATAATATATAATAATAAAAATAAACATAAATAAGAATAGTAATGAATATCCAAATTTAACAAAAATAGACAAACATGTAATGAAATATAGTGTCATGATATTCCTAATATGATACCCTGTATACGCACGCAATCAACTCGTGACCGAAGCAACGCTGACGTGTGGAAACAGCCGGACCGCTCTCGAATATCTGCCGCTGATTCACTCGAAACATCTGTAATGACGGGGACTACCGTTTAGTCATCTTCGCGAAGTCTCTAGCATTTTCCAGTAGCGGAGTTAGACTAATATAATAGAGGACGTATCAGCGCCGAGTTTAGTTTAATATAGAACGCTGTATTGAAAAGTAAAAGTGTAAGAAATAAATTAGAATTTTTAGTTAGTGTTCAAATATTATATAAATTAAATAGTACGTCTGAAATAAATTAGACTTTCGTCACATTGGTGTTAGAAGTGGAACTATAAATAAATAGTGGACAATAATGGCTAAAAGACTGTGTGATTTAAAAGTGCCTGAGCTACGTCGAGAATTAGAAGAACGTGAACTGGAGACGGCAGGGAAGAAATCAGAGCTGGCAGAACGACTTAAAAAAGCACTAGAAAATGAAGGTTTGGATCCGGAAACATTTTTATTTTCGGATGATGCTTCTGCTATAATTTCTTCTATTTCTTCGTTAGAAAATAAAGTTTCTTCTAACATTTCTTCATTAGAAAGTAAAGTTTCGTCCGATATTTCTTCTTTAGAAGAAAAAGTGTCTTCTGATGTTTCTTCCGTGAAAAGCGAAATCTCTTCTTTAGAAACTAAAGTTTCTTCTGATATATCTCCTCTTTAAAAGATGAAATTTCTTCCGGCTTGGAAAACAAAATGTCTTCTATGGAAAATACATTTTCGTCTAATATTTCTTCCTTAGAAGACACCGAAATGTCTTCTTTAAAAATCGAAATCTCTGCTGATGTGGAACACAAAATGTCTTCTGTAGAGAAGAAAATAAGAGAGATGGAAAAGAAGATAGAAGAACTCGAACATACAGAACCAGTCAAGGACAGTGAAATAAAGTGTCATGAGGTGGAGTCGAAGTTAAAATTGGAAGGAGCTGTAAACTCTGCTCGTGTCAAAGCCCCAACTTTCGACGGAAAGATGTCATGGACGAACTACCTTAAGCAGTTCGAAACAGCTGCCAGAGCAAACGAGTGGTCTGAGAGAGAAAAGGCAGTGAATCTGACAATCGCCCTTCGAGGAGACGCTTTAGATGCCCTTCAGACTATACCCGTGGAAGAGACAGATGATTTTGAACAACTGAAAAAGAGACTTAACATGCGATATGGCCACGAACATTTGGAGCATCTATACCAGTCACAGTTCAAGAATCGCAAACAGAAACGAGACGAGACCCTTCAAGAATATGAAGTAGTTCCGGAAAATATGATGGAATGTTTAACAGTCCAAACATTTGTTGATGGACTCCGTGACTACGAGATGCAGAAAACACTCCGCTTAGCCCGCCACAAAACATTGGTCGATGTCTTGTCTGCTGCTTTAGAGTATGAGGCAGCTACGCAGGCTTCTGGAGGATACAGTAAAGTGAGAACTGTAAAAGAAGAAAACGTAGAAGATAAACTCGACCAACTAGTTAACATAATGAAGACCTTTACTGATAAAAAGATGAAGACAAAGACCATCAGATGCTGGAATTGTGGTGAACTGGGGCATGTACGCAGTTTGTGCAAACGCCCTAGGGTCACAACAACTGAAGACAACACGCCACAGGAAAACTCCAAAGACCCTCTCGTACTGATAGCCTCTTTGAAATGTCGCGATGATAGTGTATACGTAGACGGCGAAGTAAATGGTAAAAAGTATACACTGTTGGTGTATACTGGAGTAACTAGGACCATTATACGACCAACAACCATAAAGAACTGTAAGAGACTTCTACCAACAAGATTGCGACTGCGGACTGCCACAGGTGAAAGTGCCAACATCCATGAGGAAATCCAGGTTCAATTGGGAATTGGTACAGAAAAGTTCACTCATATTGTTATTGTCGCTGATATTGAAGAAGATGTGATTCTTGGAATGGATGTAATGAACTTACATGGTTTCCAGTTGGACTTTAAAAACAGAGTGATCAAAGTTGGTGCCGAAGAGGTATTCCTAAATCTATATGGGGACAGTACCGTGCCAGTTGCTGTACAGGAGGATACGGTGGTACCTGGCAGAAGTGAAACCGTTATAGTAGCACGGCTTCAAGAAACTATGGAAGAAGGAACACCAGTCATGATGGAACCTTGTAACTACGATGAAGAGGTTGGACGAGGCATTCTGATCGGAAAGGGGTTGGTCACGACTGCAAAAGAAATTCCAGTTCGTCTCATAAACGTTAATGATCACCCGATTACCATCAAGAAAGAGACCAGAATCGGAACTTGTGTACCTGTAACGTCCATAATTCGTCAGACAACAACTTCTGATAATTCCAACGACAAATTCGAGCAAATGATTGCAGTTGCTGGTCAATCTCTGAATCAATCAGAGAAGAAGAAAATAAAGGAATTTCTTCGACGATATCGTGACATTTTTGTGCCAAAAGGAGGAAAAACAGGAAGAACTTCTGTTGTAAAACACAAAATTGACACTGGTGACGCCAGGCCGATTCGTTAATCGGCTCGAAGATTACCAAAGGCCAAGAGAGAGGAAGCTGAAAGGATTGTTCAGGAAATGAAGGAAGACAGGGTGATAGAGCCTTCTACCAGTCCATGGGTCTCTCCGGTAGTCCTGGTCCAGAAAAAGGATGGAACTACGAGGTTCTGTGTGGATTACCGTCAGTTGAACAATGTTACCAAGAAAGATAGTTACCCTCTGCCTCGTATCGACAATACCTTAGACACATTGGCCGGAAGTAAACTATTCTCTACCTTAGACTTGAAATCTGGATACTGGCAGGTGGAAATGGACCCAGTAGACAAAGAAAAGACAGCTTTTACCACCGGATCTGGATTGTAGCAATTCAATGTTATGTCATTTGGATTATGTAATGCCCCCGCGACATTTGAAAGACTTATGGAAAACGTATTGAGAGGGTTATCCTGGAAAACATGCCTGGTTTATTTAGACGACATAATAGTCTTGGGGAAACATTTGATGAACATCTAAAGAACTTAGAAGATGTTTTTAAAAGACTTCAAGCTGCCCAACTGATGCTAAACCCCAAGAAGTGCCAACTATTCCAAAATAAAGTTAATTACCTGGGTCATGTAGTCAGCAAGGATGGCGTGGCTGTAGATAAGGAAAAAGTCACTTCTATCAAAGAGTGGCCACAACCAAAGGACAAACACCAAATAAGAAGTTTTTTTGGGCTTTGTACGTACTACCGAAGATCCATAAAGAAGTTTGCAGATATTGCTAAACCACTAACGAGACTCACAGAAGAAGCGAGGGAATTCTGCTGGGACGAAGACTACCAAACAGCCTTCGAAACTTTAAAGAAGCATTTAACAACAGCGCCAATATTAGGCTATCCACTACCAGAGGGAGAATTTATCCTGGATACCGATGCCAGTAATGTGGGAATTGGAGGAGTGCTTTCACAGATTCAAGAAGGAAAAGAAAGAGTACTGGGTTATTTTAGTAAAGTGCTCTCGAAACCTGAGCGAAATTACTGCGTCACGAGAAGAGAACTCCTAGCAGTTGT